GGATATTTCATGTGACAGCGTACACATGAAAGCATTGATTAGATCTTCAGTGACTTAAAAAAATTAATCTCCCAGTTTTCTAACTAGTTTCTTTAATCTGGGCGCAGTGTTGCGATAAGAAGTTGACTCACTGAGAAAGTCACCTGCAGGACTGGAGGAAGTTTATCTGCTCCTGGTGCTTTTTGTGGCCTGTCATGCTGCTGGTCACAGCTTTGACAGCTGAGCTTGTTGTGCAAGAGCTGCAATCAAATGTGACTGTAGCTCATCTTTTCCGCTCATCTCAGAGTCACTGGACGGTGTATTCCCATTACTCTGAAAACAGGTGATTGCATTGGGATCACGGGAGCATCGGGACACCAACAGCCAGGTGCTCTCCAGAGCTACGCAAGCTAAAAATGAAGTTCTCTATGGATGATGAACTGCACCCACCCAAGGGGGTGATTTGAACTTTACTAGGAGCTCCTGTTTTTCCTCAGAGGAGCCAGTGCCCTGTGTCCAGCCTGCACACACAACTGACCCCGGCTGCTGGGCTTTATAGGGCAGATGAGAAGCATTGCCAGCTCTAACCAGGGACTAAAGTTAGAGAAGGACACGGAGGGGTCAGTGAAGCTCTCACGGCGTGAAGCCGATGCCATGTGTGTGCAGGAAGAGGCCAAGTGGTGGGATGGCCCCATTTCTGGGGACCACCAGGACATTTCCAGGGACAAGGAGACCTCTGGAAAGCCATAACAGTACGTTATTGGGTGCACTTCTGCCTTGCAAAACTTCTGAGGCAAGGGATGCCACTGCTGCCTGCCTCTCCAAATACCATTCAGTCTTACCATGCCAGGGAGGATTATACAAAAGGTAATTATTCTTACTATGGTGAACTGACATTCAACTACTCATCCTCAGGGATGAGTACACTGAGTTTTGCACACAGGACAGCTTTTCCATAGGAGCTAATAGGATATGTCATGGGTACCTCATACCTTCAAGGCACGTTTAGTAGCTATATAAAAGCACTCCTTCTTCTAGGGCTCACTGGTCACATCACAAAGCTGTTCTCACCAGGGAGCTGGGTAAGTCTGGTTTGTGCTGAGCATCTGTAGCTGCTGAAATGCAGATTTACTTCTGGTTTTTTACATATCAAAAATGCTCTATGGGAAAAGTTTTTAAAACTAGTTGGTTTGAATTGCTATGTTGGAGTAGGAGTGCACTCTCTTACAGTGTCTCCAGCTGGGCATCCGAGTCCAAGAGACACTCCTTAAAAATGTGAGGAAAGGTTGTTAGCAGTAATTGGGATGCTGCTATTGTTGTTTGCTTTTGAGGGTGCCTGACAACAGTCAGAGCAGCTTTGGTGTATCAGGGAACATGATGCTAGAAGAGCTGTAAGCAGGTTTGTGTTCAGTTGTGGTATTGTTACCCTTTAATTCGCTTTGATTCCCTAATGAGCATGAACTTTGTGATGCTGGGACTGAGCCGTGAACCTCTGCTTGCCTGTGGTGTGATGGGATCACCAAGCAGCGGTGCCTTGGGTGCTCTTTGCCTCTCCTGTTATGGCAGATGTGACCAGAGGTTTGGAGCTTGTTTCTGGGTTAGGCTTTTTTCTTGATGCATCAGCAAGAGGTCAGAGGCAGTTGCCAACCAAAAGCAGGAGGGGAAAACTGGATTTAATGATTGAAAGGCAGCTCTGAGATCACCCATTTCTCTGCTGACCTCCAAGATCGGTTCACCCCTGTGGAGGTCCAGGTGATGGGGAGGGAGTTGCAGTCTGGGGAGATATTTAGTGTTACGTGTCTCTGAATTTCCCCACTGTTTGACTTAGTGCCACGTTTCAGAGTTAAAAATGATGGGTTGGGTTCTTGACTGCTGCTGGTGTGGTTTTGAGACCATGGCATAGGCGGGACTTGTCTCCGACACCCTGTGAAGCGAGCCGGTCCTGCGGTGTGGGCAGCAGCAGGACCACGAGAAACCCAGCTGGGTGTCTGTCTAAAGGCTTTGCTTTCTCATGTGTCATTCCAGTCCTGCCAAAGCCTCACTGGGATGTCATACTACCTACAGCAGTGCCTCCCTCCAGTCTACCAGGACCCCATCCCCATCAAGTGCCCGCCGATGTACTCTGCCAGACACCAGCCAGTGCCTACCTGGCACTCGACACTGTGCACCCCACAGTATGTGACCCCCTGCGTCCCCCAGCAGCGCATCATGTCCTCCAGCTTCTCCCAACAGCAGTGTGTGACCAAGTGCATGCCACGGCAGCAGTATGCAACCACGTGTGTGCCGCAGCAGCAGTGTGTGACCCAGCACATCCTACAGCAGCCATGTGTAACTCGGTGTGTGACAACTTGCATGCCACAGCAGCAGTGTGCGACCGAGGGTGTGTCACAGCAGCCTTGCGTGACCAAGTGCGTGCCACAGCAGCAGTGTGTGACCAAGGGTGTGCCGCAACAGCGTGCAACCAAGTGTGTGACCACCTATGCTCCTCAGCAGCAGTGTGAGACCAGGTGCGTGACCACGTGTGTGCCACAGCAGCCGTACCTCAGCAAGGGCATCCCACAGCAGCAGAGTGTGACCAAGTGCATCCCGCAGCAGTGTGTGACCACGTACATCCCGCAGCAGCAGTGTGCGACCAGGTGTGTCACCACGTGTGTCCCGCAGCAGCGTGCGACAAAGTGTGTCTCGCACAAGTTTGTGACCTCTTGTGTCCCGCAGCAGTGTGCCACCACGTATGTCCCGCAGCAATGTGCGACCAGGTGTGTGACCAAGTGTGTCCCGCAGCAGTGTGCCACCAAGTGTGTCCCACAGCAGTGTGAGACAACTTGTGTCTCACAGCAGTGTGTGACCAAGTGTGTCCCACAGCAGCGTGTGACCAAATGTGTCCCACAGCAGCAGTGTGCGACCAAGTGTGTCCCACAGCAGTGTGCCACCAGGTGTGTCCCACAGCAGTGTGAGACAACTTGTGTCTCACAGCAGTGTGTGACCAAGTGTGTCCCACAGCAGCGTGTGAGCAAGTGTGTCCCACAGCAGCAGTGTGCCACCAAGTGTGTCCCACAGCAGTGTGAGACAACTTGTGTCCCACAGCGGTGTGTGACCAAGTGTGTCCCACAGCAGCGTGTGACCAAATGTGTCCCACAGCAGCAGTGTGCCACCAAGTGTGTCGCTCAGCAGTGTGAGACAACTTGTGTCCCACAGCAGCAGTGTGTCACCAAGTGTGTCCCACAGCAGTGTGTGAGCAAGTGTGTCCCACAGCAGCAGTGTGCCACCAAGGGTGTCCCACAGCCGTGTGCAACCAAATGTGTCCCACAGCAGCAGTGTGTCACCAAGTGTGTCCCACAGCCGTGTGTGACCAAATGTGTCCCGCAGCAATGTCAGCCGGGTGGAGTAAAAATTTCGAGTCACTCTAAAAAGTACTGCTCTGCGTCCAAATGGCCCTGGTAAAAAGGAGTGGGGGAAAGGAAGGTCCACAGAAAAAGAGTGAGGTCCAGCTTTGGGGCAGGGGTTATTTATCTCCTCATACCACCTGCCGACTAGTTCCTATTGCTTAAGTCTGCTTTATCTCTGTTTTCCAGTACTTCCCCTGTAGCTCAGCTCTATTTTGGGCCAGGGTGTGATACTATTTCCATGGCTGCACTCCAGGTGCCTGTGGCTTCTACCTTAATCCGCTACAAGGCATAGTTTAGTGGGATGCTATTAAATTCTTACCTAATTGAAATGAATAGTGACTTTAAAAAAAAATTTAAAAAGGAATAGAAATGTCTAAGGAGTCCAGATCACGACAGCATCAAGAGGACTGGCAGTGCGGCTGGCGGAGGGCTGGCCCGTGCCCAGCTCCGGGTTTAATCCTGGCCTCGGGAGACAATGTTCAGGTTAACTTGGATTCCACGAGGCTGCGAGTTCTCCAAAACACCTGTTTTCACTCACAGATTTGGAAGCCGAACGCAAATTTTCTAAGCAAACGGTATACGCATCTTACTCCAATGGCCTTCATTTTGGAAGGTGGCCAGAAATCCCTGCTGCTTTAAAACACTGACTCGGCGTTGACTTCAGTAGCGTGCCCAATCAAGACAGGATTTCTGGCTCAGTGAAGGTGGCCCTTGCTGAAATTTTATACATTAATGTTTTTATTCACTTATTTGCTTTAACTAATATTGAAAACACAAATTGAAACAAAAGAAAGTCTTTGAAATAACATTGAAAGTTGTAGCACGACTATTTTATGTTTGAGCTATAAAAGCAATTAACTATATTCTTTATGCTGCCTGAAGATGTGTACTCTACACTGTATTGAAAACAAACCATATATATATATGTATACTTATATTATACGTATATATATATACACACTTAAATAAATATAGTTGTCTGACCTCAGATTAACTATCTTGTCTTTTTGCCCTCTGGTGGTTCTTCTTTATTAAATATAGTGAACTCCTGTGCGAAAAATACAAAACCCCTGTAATACCCCTATCATTAGGAAAATGAGTAGTAGCTCGCACTAAGTAGATCATGAATATTTGGAGGGCAAAAACAAGTGTCACAAGACAAAGAGGAGGGTGTGACTGGGGCTGGGACGCTGCCTTGTGTCCCGCCCTGCTCCACCCTTGCTTGGTGTCCTTGAGGTGCCACTGCAGGCTGCCCTCTGAAGGCGAGGAGGTGTCTAAGACCTGAGCATCTAGCAAAGTCGAGGTGGCATCTGGCTGCTCTTCCCCAGGGTGCTCAGGGGGCCATGGGGGAGCAGAGTCTTTTCGCACCTTCTCCTGAATGTCCAGGGATGATGCTTTGGCCCGGAGAAGCAGCATGCAAGAGAAGCAGTGCCCCTGGCCCTCCTTCCACCTTGCAGAGCCAGGGATGCTCTCATAACCCAACGTTTTGTGTCCCCTTTAAAACCAAGAAAAGAGCAATGATGTGATCTTCTGAGGAGTTGTCACACCATTGCGGCTTTCCCATAGGAGCCAGAGCCCAGGGGATCGTTAGGAAAATCTTTCTGGGTGGTGGGTGGCCGGCTGGCGTAGGACCTCATCTCACAGGGGTGGAGCGGCCGACGGAGCACAGGGCTTGTTTTGGAGGCAGTTGTGATGGAGTCTGGTTCTGACCCTGGCTCTGACTCATGCTGCACCGCCGAGTGACCACAGTGCAATGTGCCTCAGTTTCCCCTGTGCTTAATTGGGAATAATAATAGCCCCCACAACAATGTCCCGTGCAGCACTGAGCGTCTCTCTGAGATGAAAGGACTTTACAGATGCTAATTAAGAACATTTGGATGACAGGGCACGATGTTATCGTCAGGTTAATATTTTGCTACCTGCACAGGAAACACTAAACTGAATATTAGCATTACTTGAAGGCTACTTGATCTGGAGCTTGCCCAGGAACTGGATTTATGGAGTTTATAAAAATTGTATTAATCTGCTTACCTGCTCTCTGATGCCAGCTTGATTTCTAAAATCTTGGGTCAGATCATTTAACATTAAAAAGAGCATTGTAGTTCAGGGGAGTGAAATGCAATGGAAGTTAGAGAAATCCAGGTTGGACTCAGTGCTTTTGTCTTCAGTTGCGGAAAATAAGATAAGCCTAGAGAAAGCATTCTTCCCTTTGGTTTTTGTAGCTCTCAAAATGTTGACATCAACTGGGAAAACACTCATTTTGCCTGTATTTTTTTCTATGATACTGAGGCAGATTTTTTTTGTTGGAAAATTGGAAATGTAAATAACAAACCTATCTTCAGGCTTCTGGATTTTCTGGTGAAAACAGAAATAGAAAATTTACTCGGTAGTTCATAAGCAGGAGATCAATATTCTGCTTCAAATCATAGAATCATAGAATCATTTAGGTTGGAAAAGACCCTTAAGATCATCGAGTCCAACCAATAAACCACGTCCCTAAGTGCCATGTCCACATGTCTTTTAAATACCTCCAGGGGTGGCAACCCAGCAGCATCACCGGTGCTTCGTATCGGTGAGAAATTTTCCACCTACTCCATTAAAAGTTAACTTATTTCACCTCTTTTTAATTCAATGTGTGGGACCTCACCTGAATTCCCAGCATGCTGGAACCCAATTCATAGGTGTTAGATTCTCCTTAAAGGAAAAAAAATGCCAAGGCCTTCACTTATGTAGATATGACTATGTAAAAATGCATTCCCTGTCGGCACTTATGCTTATGCCACTGTTAATTTTCCCTTGGGTTTATTCGTGGCGTAAACAGGGAACAAAGGGAGGGATGACTGGTGCAGAGACTGTGCAGCAGAGCAGGAAACGTGATTTGTGTTTTCAGGACATGAGCCTGGTTTGATTCAGCCGCCTTCCCCCGGGCCGCCCCAGCGCTCCTGCTTGTCCCTTCTCCCCTTTGTTGTGCCGGGAAAGCATCACCTCTTTCGGCAGGTTATTCACTTTGTGGCAAGTCCTTTTTAGTAGCCGTCTTGCCCTTAGCCCAAGGCTTTCTCAGTCCCAATCATCAGTCTCTTCCCTGGGTTCCCTGTGTAAGTAAAGGAAGTCTGCATGCCACAGTAATTATGGTCTGCAAAAAGTCGCCGAGAGTCCTTCCTGGATGGTGTTTTCAAAGGCACCGAAGGGTGCATGCAACTCCCACGGAAATGAGAAGTCCCTTGGACGGTCCCTTTGGTGGTCTCAACTGCAATCTTTTCCTGGGTGGAAAGGCGCATTTTAGCTGGCCTGGATTTGCAATGGGCAGGCAGGGATGCTTCGGCATCGTGCGTGGGGATTTGTAGCGTGAGGGCCATGAGCAGCCCCTGCACAGGGTGTCCTTGGCCTGCCAGGGGCTTCGCTGGTTTAGCACGTTGGATCAGGAGGTTCCCCCTCACGAAGCTCACAGGTAAGCCAGATGTCCCGGCAGTGCTGGCCGGCGATGGCAGCCCTGCAGAGCGAGGACAGCCATTCCCACTGGCGCAAAGCTGCACGTGGCTTGGCGAGGACTGGCAGGCAATTAGAGCATCACCCAGCCAAACCGCCTCACTCCCCTAGGGCATTTATTCACTGTATAAAAGCTCTGCCATCACGGGGCTCTCCTAGGCACTTCTCTCCGGTTGTTCTCACTGATGAAGTGGGTAAGTCTGGCTTTTAATGGAGCTCCTGAAATGCTGTTTTATTCCTGGGTGGCCAGAGCAGGCAGAGGTCCTGCCTGGGTACTCACGGAGAAGCATCCTGTGGGGGATGCTGCCTTCAGCACCGGCGTGCGCGGCTCTAACAGCTGGAGCATCTCCTCCGTGCTAAACTGAAGAATATTGGGAAAGCACTTCCAGATGGACTGTGAAGTCAGGAGTGGGATTTGTGGGCTTTTCTACACTTTCTGTTAGTTCTAGTCCAAAGGAGGCTATTGACTACATAAAGGGCTTGATGCTGACAGGAGTCAGATATGAGCTTGCATGCGAAAAGGCAACTTCTCTAAAGGAAATGGCATGGAGAAATTTGCTGCCGTTTTATGGAATTTAAACAAAGCAGCTTTTCAGATAATAGTAAGAAGCTGACCAACTTCAGTGCCAATGTGAAAGTCAGCAGAGAGACTCTCTAGCTAAGTCTGAACATGTTAAAATTTCTATCTAGGCTAACTGATAAAAATAAGTCTGAGATGCAAACAGCCCCCTGGAAGCAAATAATCCGCCCTACATTAGAAGCTTTTTATCTTGATGAGCATCACCAGATACTTTAGCATTGTAAAGGTAGTAGTAGCAATTGCTGTCATTGTTTTTCAATGGGTTATTTTTATTAGTTGATGATTATTATAATTGTAGTGATAATAAGTTTTCCTAATGATAGTAACACACAGCATTGTTATTGCTAATAGTCACCCAGCGATAGGCTTTTAGAAGATAAAACGCCTTACTGTAATTATAGACAGAACGAGGGGTGTTCAGAAAATGCCATTTCTTTACAGTCGTTAAATTATATGCCTTAATCTCCAAACAATGTTGAAATGAAAAAAACATTTTTGATCAGAGTACCTTTCACATTTCAGTGGTTCCAGTACCTGTTGTGCTCAAAATAATCCTGTTAAAAACTCAGACAGCTCCCTGAAACTGGTGTTTTCCGGAGTGGGGAATGAAGAGGGATGGTTTCTCCTACGACTCCCAGGGCCAAGGCAAAGCGAGACATTTCACAGTGGTTTCAGGAGGGAAGTGTGGGCCTCCAGATGGTGCCACATGGTCATCACATGCCACCTGGTCCCTTCCCCAGGGATGCAGTATTGGCTAGACTCCCCTCCGTGCTGCTCGCACAGGGGCTGCCAGGATGAGGTTTCACTATCAGAGCTGCTATGCCAGGCATTTTGACAGTGGGTCTTCGGGTTACCATAACAAAACCAGGACACTGTGGCTTGGTATGACTGTAGTGCAGGACTGGAGGCTGCTTTAAATGGGTGTAATTCTCTCAACTCAGTTAAACTTGGCCAGTTAGCACCAGCTGAGATTTTGTCTTGATAGCTTC